TCTATGCATCTAAATGAGTTTACAGTAATCAGCGCTTACTGTTTCATTTGGAATTTTGAGGTCATGTAGCTGACTATTGAAGTATAACCATTCAATGCGATTGCTGCTTTTTAAGTGGTAGCAAAGGGTTTCAGCTCACAATATTTTACATGTATACATATATATATGTGATATTTTGTCTGTAAGTATAGAACCAAAAATGACTAAGACGTCATCAAAGCAAATTTTTGATGCAATCTATTAGCAATTGCTAAGGAGCTTTCTGTAAATGATCCTCAATGACACTAAACAGATGATCTGATAATTGATTTTTGCGTCACTGAATAGCACCACTTAGCTTCTCTGGATAAAAGTATTGCCATAAAATCAGCGATTTACTTCAGAAAACATAATCGGCTAAAAATCTAGCTGAAGAAGGAAGAAACGTTTGCCATAACCAAATATTATATTTGGATGAAGATGAGCAAAATGAAGTTCCGAATCATGAAGCATACATAAATGCATGTAATTTAATGACCTTAAAGAAATGAAAACTATGAATACAAAAGGAAGCTAACATTCGCTTTTTTGGAGCAAAAAGCCAAATTTTATTCCGCCTCTGGTGTGATTTCAAAACAAGCATCGTACAGGATAATTATAGCGTGGGCTTGCATTTACATGTTTGGACATAAACTCGCAGCATGCTATCAAAAAAAGAACCAATTCTGCAGAGGAATGAGTTTTAGGCGTTCTTTCATCAAGCCTTGAGCGAACTAAGTATTTGCATTGGCGATACTTGCATCTGAAAAACATACGTTTCTTTGACATAATTTTTAGGTAAAAAATAATCTTGAGTACCATTTTTATAGAAATACCATTCGATTTTGAGCACTGCAAAATTTGATTGATGGCAATGCTGGGGTAATTTAATGATTGTTGTGTGATTATACAAGGACTTCTTTCAAGGCAAAATCATTTGAAAGCTCCGAAAGCATCGTTAAATTGTTATCCGACACCCTTGGTCACAAGCAACGGACACACATTAGTCACGAGTTGCGAACGTTCAAGGATTAGTATGTTTTTTTTGTTACAGTAACTGTCGGAGATTTTTCCTTATCTATTCTTTCAAAGCTGATTACATATAAGCGATCAATAGAAGTATCGCATATGACTGTTACGGGGCTATATAAGTGTAAGAAAGGAACTTGTGTCTGTGTCGGTCTTAGCTCTCGATTTCTTGCTTCAAATGTTGTAGGGCTTGCCTTCCACGAATATTCCCATCGAGGCCACGTTAAGCTCTCAGCAGAAGCCATTACAGTTAACACAACACAACCCTATTTTGCAACCGCTTATGCAACGCTGAGAAAAGATATTATGTGATAGGTAAAACAGAAATGTGGACTTTTCCTTTTCTGGTATCTTAATACAGCCTTTATTTGAAGAGGTGCATTTATACTATAAATTTCAAAGTTAACAATGTAATTCTTTCTTTTCACAATCCTACTGCTTTGTTTCTTGGTCAGCACAGAGGCCCTCATTTGTGAACTTTACGTTCCTCTAGCTCAGTCAATCGCCGGGGCAGCCTTTCCGCAAACTCGCGCTTTTTTGCAGGCAGTCAGCAGAATTTCGGGGCGTGGCTAAACCTTCACCGGGGGTAATTCTTTTGCCGTCGTAAGTTCTGCCAGCAGGCAGCAATACAGAATTTTCTGCGAGCGGTCGTCAAATTATTCCTTTCAGCAAGCGCCGGCCAAATTTTCAGCGAGCGCTCTGACTCTTGTTGAGCAGTTTCGGCCCCGAAGAAGGTAACACTCTACATGGCAGAGGTGTCACCGATGTTCTAATTACCCGAATTGAGGTACTTTCTCTCAGCGGAAAGCACCTACCTCTGTTCGGTCCTTCACAAAGGACCGTGCGGCTCTCAACAGTTTGTATATTCTCGCGGAAAGTCCGCGAGAATGCAGCCACTGCGCCGCAACTACTCAGATAATCGCCGGGGGCAGGCGGTCCGCAAACTCGCGCTTTTCTGCAGGCGGTCAGCAGAATTTTGGGGCGTGGCCAAACCTTTAGCGGGCGGCACTTCCTTTACGGTCGCATATTCTGCCAGCGGGCAGCAATACAGCATTTTTTGCAAGCGCTCGGCAAATAATTTCTTTCAGCGAGCGCTGACCAAACTTTCAGCATGCGCTCGGACTCTTTTTAGGCATTTTCGGGCGTACGTCGAGCACAGCTAAGACTCTGTGTGGCAGAGGTGTCACCGTTGGTTTAATTACTCAAGTTTGAGGTACTTTCTCCCAGCGGAAAGTACCTGGGGGTTGCGCGGTCCTCCACAAAGGACCGGGCGGTTCCCGAAATTTTTGCATACTCGCGGAAAGTTCGCGAGAATGCGGCCACTGCGCCGCAGCTAATCCATAAAGAAACCGCGATTGTTCTCCAAGCATTCGTCTTCAATTTCGCCAACTTTCTTCCAAATTTCTGCAAGCGGGCGGCAAAAAATCAATGAACTATTTTTCCGGTACGCGCTTGCTCAAAATTGGCATGGCCGCCTGCCCCCGGCGGTTATCTGAGTAGTTCATGAAAAGGCCGCGATTGTTCTCCGAGAATTCGTTTGAATTTTCGCCAACATCCCTCCATATATCTGCAAGCGGACCACAATAAATCAGCGAAGTATTTTACCGGTCCCCGCTTGCACATAAATCGCACGGCCGCCTGCCCCGGCGATTATCTGAAAGTGAGCAATGCAGCTTCGCTTCATGCAGAGTTGAGGTAAATACTTTGAGAGCTTGCAGGGTACAAAAGTCCTTGTATGCAGTGCAAGAAGTTTGACACTTGTGTGATCACTGGAGCGACTTTTTCTTCACCTTTTCCTCCCCCTTTTGCTAGATTCCAAAAGAACAAACAAATTTTGGCTTTTGAGAACGGACTTTAATCAAATAGCCTGCGCAGTTAATGTAAAGGGAAAATCATTAAGTCAAAGAGCCATAGGCGTAATCGCTTCATAGAGGACTACTTGCTACCTTTGTCCCGGCCCTGGTTCACATTTCAGGCACCCTACAAATTCTATTCGTAATCTATTACTGCTGTGTTTGCGAGTTAGAGAGTACCTCAAATGCTTTTGTAAAACGTATGATTATCTTTTTCAGACGAGTTCAAATTTTCGGGAAAGCAAAAGCTTTGAAGCGTAAGAAGCTATAAATTTCTCAAAATGGTGCTTACACATTTTCGGGCCAACCTAATATTTTAACCGAAGCGTTTATACCATGTTCATCTCACTTCAAATGGTCTCTGCAACTCAGGTATTTTTTGTGTATTGAAGATACGGCAGACTTGGGTATCATATGTGTGGGACAAATTCAATGGTAGAAATTTTACGCATCCTTTTGGAGATATTTGGCAACTGCAATACAGAGAAAGTCATTTCAGTTGAAAATGGCAAATGCTCACAAATACTGAATCAGTTAGAGAATTTTCGTTTTACTTTCGCATTTTTACAGCACACTTCAATCAACCTTGCTATCGTCCCCCGGTGTACGTTAAGCGGAGCACTTGCAGACATCTGAACCGGTGAACTTATTCAACCTCTACCGCGAGTTCTTCTTTGTAATCTCTCGCTACCAACTCTGCCACGTATGACAACAGTTATATATGTCGCAGTTCGTTTTGCGTTGAGTATTGATCAGTCATCAACGCGGATGTTTGCAAAAGCTCCGCTCAACGTACGCCGGGGAGGCAACGATACTAGGGACGATATTTATCAGTCTCCTATCTAGGAAGGGAATTCCTGTACAGGTGATAGCCCGTACAAACGCGGGCACTGGCGCCAGTGATAAACGAAGCCAAGCTGGTGATTGGGCTGCTTCTATTGGCGAATATGGTCCGATCTGGCAAGTTTGGTCAGATCGGGCACGGCGTCGGGCAGTGGAGCAAGACCTGTCGAAAAAGGCTCTGCTTCCCTACTGCTGTTTCCGATATGCCAAACTTGCCAGATCGGATCACATTTTGAAGTTTGGTGAATCACGGGATTGGCGCTTTCGCCTGCTTGGTCGTTAATAATGGCTCGAACAGCGAGTTAGAGATTGTTAAATAAATCATCCAAGTGCATAAAATCACTGGAGCTTTAATGCATGGTGTGCTATAAGACCCAACTTGGAAGTGCATGACTAGCAAGATGTTTAGCGTACTGATTTCAAGGGATGCTTACATTCAGTGGAGACACAGTAAGTGTTTTTGCACAAGTAGTTTTTGGATGAGGATGTGGCGCTAAATGTTTGCCAAATTTGGACTTATGATTGTAGTTTTCCCATAGCCGGCATCGCAGATAAGGAAGGTGGGTTTGGGTCAAGGCAAAACTTTTGTGCACTGCTGCCAAGATACTCTTTTTATGGACGAATCTCGATTGAAAAGATTATGATAATATAAGAAAGTCCCCAACCTTCAACTACTATCTGATCAGCCTCTTCTTCATTTCGTTCAATTCCTCATTTTGTGCATAAGCATGACCAACCAAAATTGACAGAAGTCCGCTAAGTTCTGCTGTGGCTCAAAAAAACCCCAATCAATGGTCTATAGCTTTGCAAAGTTAAGAGAAGATATTAGCAACCTAAAACTTTTGAGTAGAACATGACCAAACGCAAGCTTTGTCTACTCCTTTTCTGAAAAGGCAATTACGGTATTTTTTGTTTCAGAGAAGAAAGCTGATGAATTTACAGTTAAACAAGCGAGATAGTTGATGACAGAGTTGTACATAATGTGCACAACTTTTTGAGGTTTTATTTTTGATATAATCTGCGACATTGCCTCTTACAAATGCCTGAAATTACATAGCAGAGAAATCAAGATTATTGTAAACTCGTAATTCCCTTGCACTCAGAAGATCATTTATTTGGGTAGAGGACTATGTGGCGAAGTGGGAGGATTTCGCGCGGACAACGCAGCAGATACTCAGCCTGTGCATGTATTAATAAGGCGTAATTGTCGCAAATGTCGGGCGGAATCTCCCATTTCTGGCGACATATAGTGCCATACCTCATTTGTTTCTCTGTCAAGTTATGCCAATGAAGTTTCGTCTGTTTGCCGTTTTATCAAACGCTCTATGTACCGCTTACTTTCTCAAAGTGTTTTTCTAGAGATTACGTCAGTTGGACAAGAATGAGAATTTTCAACCTTACCTTCTTATTACTTACCATCTTAGTGGTATGTTGATCAAGCAAGACATCACTTAGTTTGCGATTTTACTCTTTAGAATGCTTACAGATTCTCTCTGTTGTGGACGTTGGTGAATGCGGCAAATTCAAAGACATTCTGGGAAAAATCCTAGAAAAGATAAAAGTTGCGATCAAGAAGGTTCCGGACATTGCCGCAAAGGTTCCAGAAGTCCTTAATCATGTGAAGGAAGCGAAGGAAATAATTGGGCAAATCAAAGGAAATTGATTTTGTGCGTGATTGTCGATAAACCTTGACATTGTGATTCATTTGTAATACAGTTTTTAAGCTGTCGACCAAGGTTGATAGCAAGACTTTATTACGCGATAAGTCAACGTTTCGGCGGTTCGTCCGCCTTCATCAGGACTTCCTGAAGGAACGAGACTTCGAAAACTGCCCGCTTGAACGCCTTATTTGGCAATAGATTCAGTTTAGCTTAGTGATGGAGTGGCAGAATAGATGTTGAAAGCCTAACTTCGGTCTTGTCAGATCGGCATATAGAGACAGAACAACCAGTACTGCGCTGCAGCGCCATGAGTGAGTATGATAGTCAGTGTCAACAATGTTTTTTATATGGTTATAGAAGATCTCGTATTAGCATCCACATAGTGTTTGATAGTAGAACAGGCTTATGGCAATGCTTTCATCTTTGCGGTTCATTTTAGGTGGTTTAGACGTTATCCAAAAAGCCTCCACGTTTTGAGGGCTATAAACTCGGATTCGTGCGACAAGGTCGTAACAGCGACTAAGAAATAATGGTTCTCATGACATAACCTGTGTGCACCATGTGCACCCAAAGATGTGGACATTTGTGGTTTTCTAAGGCCGTCAAGATGCCCTTGGATTCTCTTGTGCACAAGGGTCTTCCGGTCTCTCCCATGTATTGATCACCGCATTTTTAACATTTCATGAGATATAAAACTCGTAATTCCATGCAGTCGCCTGGTTTCCCAAAGCTCAGATGACACAATCGGCGGTCGTGCACATTCTGTCATACGCTCGATTGCGGCTTAGTTGTTTTTTGAGATTTAAAGTAGGGATAGCTATAATTTGACGGTATCATCGAAAAAATCATCTTGAAACAAAGATTTTCTGATAGCTGTGCTAAAATCGTCAGATACGAAGAACACAAAACGCTATTTTGATTGTCTGGTTCATTTCGATCGGTCTGCTTTCTTGCCTACAGGTTGCATTGGTGCACCTTTTGCGGGATAGCCGTTATAATATACAATCTGTTTGACAAGGTTCATCAATGCATTGCGCTGTTCGACGTTGAACGAAACCGGTTTCACTGTCTTGAACATGTTGCCTATCACGGTTTCATGCTCCAAGGTTGCCTAGAGCGATAGTGAATTAATATGGCCTTACTAGCTTGTTTGCGTAATCATTTAGTTACGTATGATCCGTAAGATCAAAACATTTGGACGTTTAGGAATGCTAGCCAATTTTCATCGGGTTTATTCCACGTGAATCTCATGTTAAGGGATTGGCTATTCAGAATGTCAAAGCATATGTCTACTTCACTTTGAGGCATATTGGCAGCAGTCGTCAATCTATATATAAAAGAGCATGAGCTTACGAGCAAGTACTTTTTTGTTTTTTGATCTTTGACAGGAAGACGATTGCGACGAAGGAAGCCAATCTTCGCTCCGTAAGCCGTACCTGCTTGTAATACTTTCCTGACCAGAGGAATGGCGGCAGGCCTTTGGATCCTCCAAAGGCCTGCCGCTTCTCCAGGTGCGCCCTTCGGAGGCAATTCTTGCTTCGCGCCTCTCTCACACCTATCTCGCACCTTCAACGCTAGAGAAACAAGCTCCGCCCCTTCGCTCCGCCCCCAGATCGACCTCATTGTCGCTCGCGCTTTCATGGATAACGAGAAGAATCCAAGAAGCTTCGTAAGAAGTGGTTATAAGCAGGCTTCCAGTAAGCTTTGTGGAAAAAACATTGAACATCACTCTCAAACATCCCTAACTTGGAACTAATTAACATACCTTTGACCTTGTGCACTGATAAGGTTCACTAATAAGATAAGAACTGAAGGGTTAAAGCCGACGGCTAATATGTAGCCCATAACATAGTCCATAGGCAAAAAGAACAGCCTTGTAGACTATAAAAAGGTGAAATGCGAGGTACTCGCAACGCAACATGTCTTACTATCAGGTACTGCGCTGTTGCTTACTTTTCTCTTTTTTTTCATTTTTTTCGTCTTTTTGCTCAATTTGACAAAATTTTTATCTTGAGACCCTCTTTAGGTAGAAATTCAATGCTTCGGCAACTCGTTCAACTATTTTCCTCCAACTCTGTACCAAGCTCAGCCGAATGGCATAATGTATACTACTTACCCTAGTCCTAGCCAACTTTACAACTTTCAAGGGTGGCCTGAGGTTGGCTTGAATAATGACAAATTTAAAACCAGTGATGATTCAATTCAAGCAGTATGTAATATCTTCTGCAACGCCACCAACAGAGGTTTTCAATTCAAACATAGTGTATTGTATTCCAACACCATTGAGTGAGCAAAACCTACAGGTATGAAGTACCGTTGTAAACATGCCCTCATGTGCGTTTTTAGACCGAAGGTTTGCAACTACGCATCAGAACTTTTACGCTGAACAAGCGAATTCAAAGGTAATTCGCTTTACTTCATAGCTTCAGATACAATCTAACTGTGAGAACGTGAATTTGAGGCCGATTTTACTGCAACAACACATGAAACTTACTATGTGGAGGAACCTGAGGAACCTAGTTCGCCATTAACAGCACTGCCTGAGCTTCCTGTTGCTGCTCCAAGAAAGAGTACCCGCTATGCGGGCATAAGAGAAACTAGTCAGAAAGGAAGGCACAAAGTGCTCCTCTACGAAATTCCTGGCAGTCCTCGTGTTTATTTATTCATGTACCACAAAAGAACTGGAAAACACATTCAAGTACCAATGTGTTGAGTGCGCAAAAATGAAGAATTACACTTCAGTACTGATGAGCTTTGAAATCTGTCTAGTTCGCTTGAAAAAATAGTTCTTTCAGGTGAATGAAGATGACTTTCTGGATGATCCTGCCATGTTAGCATGTCTGCTTGCCGAAAGACAGAGCCAAAGATAAAGCCGACAGGATATCCTATGAGTGAGAGGAATATATACGAATACAATCCGAAAACAAAGGCGAGTTTAGACCTTATAAGAACTACGTGGCAACAAGCAAGCTTCACTAACTCCCACAATCAAGCACTGGCTGAAGGTGATGGATAAAATACAGGGTGTCCCAAAAAAATGTATCCACTGTTTGATGTAAATAACTCTCTTGTAATGAAATATTTCGGAAAGCTTTAGGTACCATTTTCTAGAGCGAGGTTCAACTTAGATTTACAGTATAGAAGAAGCACCCATCCCTCTTCATTATAGGACTACGGTAGAAACTTGAAACATATGGTGTCAATGTGGAAAAGGTCGCCGTTTCAAAGTTTTTCAAAAAAATGTAAGAACTTGTGCAATAGGGTTTTTATGGACGCTGAGTTCAATAGTCAACTATTCGCAAAATTACGAAGCTTTCTAAACGGTGTAACCGCATTTTTTAAGAACATTAGGAACAAATGGCCGCTACCTCTTACCTGGCACAACTCTTTAATGAAGCATCATAATAAGTTGAGAACTTTACAATTAGAATCACCAACCCTACTTGGCCTAGTGTAAATGTTTTTCGGCTGTTTTGTTTCCTTTCTGAGGCAAAATATGGCCTTTTATGGCTCAAAACCCTCCTTTAAGTTTTCACCGTAATCCTACAGTAATGAAGAGAGAAGGGTGATTTGCTCCATAGAAATTATCTAAGTTGAACCTCGCTCTACAAAATGGCGCTTACCGCTTCTCAAAAGACCTCATAATAAGAGAGTTATTAACAATCTAACAGACGATACATTTTTTGGGACACCCTGTAGAAGAAGTGGACTGGGAAGGTATTTGGTTAAATTGCATTCTCACTTTAGCAGTTGATTGACTGGTTGTTCAGATGCGCAGAGAGAAATCAAAGTTTTAATGCATTTTGTCAGAGATAGGTACGAGTCGAGAAGAGCCGTTACTGGAGAGCAGTGAAAAGCAATATCTTGGACGTGAACATGGACAACGTTCCGTGAGCTACGTTACCTATCTGACGGAAGCTCGTTCCTGCAGCTGCAGGAAAGTACCACATATACATATCGAGGAACATAGTTCAGGCAAGTCAACAAGCTGAAAATGACTACACCCATAATATACGATTTCAGTTAGCTGTTGACAATGGTCTCTCAACACTTATTGGAGATGGAATCCATTAGCTAAATCTCAGGAGCTGAACAGGCAGTGGAATTCGGATGGAAGAAGGACAAGTCTACACCGTCCATGGAGTATGTAATGGAGGCTTCGAGATGCCACTGATGTTCGCCATCATGACAAGGAAGAGGGAGGAAGACTTTAGAGTAGTATTCGAAAAGTTGAAGGAGAAAATCAACGCTGCCATGCCGGAGTCAGGAGAGCAGCAATTGAAATTTGTTGTGGACTTCGACCTGGTATGTTCTACTCATACCTTCGATAGTCTAGAGATAGGGCGTCAAAAGTGAAGGTTGTTTGAACATCTGACATCACAAATAGTGAAGGTTGATTGAGGAAGATCAGAGAAGATAAAATGACCCAAAACAGATACAAAAAGCAAAAGAAACTGCTGAAAAACCGGATAAAAACGCTGCAAAGAGGTTTGAAATCTTTCATTTGGCAGCTTTTCAAAGTGCAAGTTTTCTCTCCAGGACCAGCAATTCGCAACACGGGGTTTTGATTTTTGATGCGTCCTTTAAATTTTTACCCCCGCATTGAGTCTCTGTTTCCTGGGACGTTGTCTGGAGTATTGCTCTTATTGTTCTGAGCAACAATCACCCAAGCTGGAAAAAAATCGATGCGAAAGCACTGTAACAGAATAGGGTAAAGAAAAACGCACTTTTTACGATTTTTCGCAAAAAACACCATAATCGAAAAGGTAAGGACTGGGCGGTTGTCTGCATTATGAACACAAGCAAGATCTATATAATGCACGAAAAAACCGCACGAAAATAGTTAAACTAGGAGAAAAACAAGAGATTTTCGAAAACAAGGTTTTTGCCGGATTTCTCGTTTAAATCAAAAAATGTGTTTTGGGACGTTGTCAGCGTGAAAATAGAGATCAAGAGCTTCAAAATGATATATAGCTTGCTAAATTTGGGTTCGAGACAGCGAAGAAAAGGGCACCAGAGCCAAATGCCCCGCGCCCCGCGTATGGGGTAGCGAGGTAGCGCGCAGCGCGCGGAGACGCAGACGAGCAGCAGAGCCTGATCAGAGACGACGGGGCATTTGGCTCTCGTCGTAGATTTCTGCGAGGTCTCAATGAAACCCTGCAACATTATATATCATTCTGGTCGCCATGACACGACGAGGAGAACTGACAACGTCCCAAGCTTTGAAAATCACTCATTAACGAAAAAAGACCAGCGTTTTCGTGAGCGACTCCTTGCGCAAGATTTGAGCGCAGTTTCTCGTTTTTGCTTAACTCCAATAGCTCTCCTAAATTTCTGAAACTCGATTTTGTTCAAATGGGAGGATAATGAGAAATTTTGTCCTGAATTCCGGCAAAAATTCCACAGAAACCCTCTTTTTAGCAGAAAAAGGCTATGAAAACGCAAGTTCTCGGTTTCGCTGAGATAAGCTAAAGATATTATCCCCTATATTTGCTTTATAACATTCGTATCATCGTACGATGATTCCCCCCAGTTACCGTATCGAGGGACCACCCGTTGAGTGGGCGGGCCTTACCACCCTTTCGTATCTAGGAGGCTTTGACCTCACTCTCCTTATGAGCTTACCGTGAACGGTTCGCTCGCACAACCTTGTACTTGCCTAAATAAATCTGAACCACCAATTCTACTCTTCCTACACAGTTATTGTATCAATCCGAGGCCAACATCCCTCGAAGAGTCTTCCACCCGCTAACAATTCGTTCCGATATATAGTCAGGATAATAACATCCGGTGCGAAGCCCCGGATGACTTCTGTTTTTTTTTTCAGGTGAAGGTTATGTCCCCTCATAGTCCTCAAAGTGAAGGTTACCAGAGTACGGGGCTCCGTGTATCGAGGGTATGGTTCTACTGAATTCAGCTGATACTCTGACAAGGCAAGTCCTCTCTCTTTTAGGCGGCCATAACAGCAGCAGCGCAGGTTTTCCCTAGGTGTTCCATTGAGGGATGTAGCTGGCACTTGAGTCAAGTTTGGGTGCGTAAGAGGAACACCTTGGGTCTCCTCCGCTTTTTGAAAGGGGAAAACCAAATCGAGACGAGTCTTAAAATGGTGAAGAACACTGAAAGGGTTGCCATTTTTGCCAAGAAGTTATTTCAACCTCGTCCACTTCTTGGAAGCACCACCGGATGGACCGCACCATCCAGCTTTTAGCCCGTGCACGAAGTTTCTGCGCTACGTGAGGAGTACATGGCTCGAAGGACCATCCTCGAATATGTGGTGTAAATATCAAATGGAGACATATAGAACTACTAATTCTGCAGAGAACTACCACGGGTAACTTGGCTGGATTTCTTTTTCCATCTTCTCTTCTCAAAGAATTGACGTTACAGAAGGTTGAGAAAGATAATGGGCAAGAAACATCCTCCCTTAACAAAACTTATCATAGCCTTTCGAAGCTTTACCTCCATAGTTAAGGCCACTTTGAAAAGACTAGATTCTTCCCGCCTCAGTCGAAAACTACGGAAAAGAGATCGAATTAGAAGAGAAAAAGTAGCTGCTGCTAAGGCAACGTTCGAAGAGCTTAGAAGGACAGGACAACTTGATACAGTCAACCTGGAAAGATACTGTAGAAAGCTTGCAAGATACACTTCTGACAAAGCTATATAATATCTTGAACATTTTTTTCTTTGCTGTTGTGCTTGTTTCTGATTATCTATTTATATTTCGAATAAATCTAGCATATACAGGGTGTCCCAAAAAAATGTATCGAACGTTTGATCGTTAATATCTCTCTTATAATGAAGCCTTTCCCCTTGCTTCAGGTATCAATCTGTAGAGCTGGCTTCAACTTAGATTTGCATTACAGAACGAATCACTCATCTCTCTTCATTACTGTAGGATTACGGTAGAAACTTCAAAGAGGGTTTTAAGCAACGAAAGGCCATATTTTGCCCCAGAAAGGAAACAATACAGCCTGAAAACTTTTACACTAGGCTATTCAAAGTTGCTAATTATAGCTGTAAAGTCCCCAATTTATTATGATGCTTCATTGAAGAAATGTGCCAGGTAAAAGGTAGCGGCCATTTTTTCAATGTTCCTAAAATGTGCGGTTACACAGTTTAGGAAGCTTCGTAATCTTGTGAATAGTTGAGTATTGAACTCAGCGTCCATAAAAAACCCCAATACACAAGTTTTCACATTTTTTTTAAAGTTTGAAACGGCAGCTTTTCCACATTGACAACATATGTTTCAAGTTTCTACCGTAATCCTACAGTAATGAAGAGAGATGGGTGATTCGTTCTATAATGCTAATCTAAGTTGAAGCCAGCTCTACAAGACGGTACCTAAAGCAAGGCAAAAGACTTCTTGGGAAGAGAGATATTAACGATCAAACGTTCGGTACATTTTTTGGGACACACTGTATTTGTACACCTTGTCTCCTGTCAGCCAAGCCTTCCAATCCCCGCTCCCCCCCCCCCCCCCTCATGACAGATTTATTCAGTTTCCTGCACCGCTTTCCTTGCATCCGCGTGTCTTCACCTTTCTACGTTGGCGCCCTTCTTCTTCACTCCACAGCTTCCTTCTACATCTTCGTCCTGTCTCTCTGCCTCGCCGTTGACGTCCAGCACTCCATAGCAGCTTGTACTAAAACGCCCCCTCCCTACTTAATTTCTGTTTAAATAGAGCGGTATCTGCTGACACTGATCATTCTCACATTGGGATGACAAGGGAGACAGTGTGACGCATTATCATGTTCTATTCCGGGCCTCACGCAATCTATAACCGGTTTTTGCTACTATCTTATCCTTCCAGCCTTCCTCTCCCCTACGCACTCCTGATTGAGGTCGATCTGGGGGCGGGCGAAGGGGCTGAGCCTGTTTCTCTAGTGTTGAAGGCGCGAGATAGGTGCGAGAGAGGCGCGAAGCAATAATTGCCTCCGAAGGGCGCACCTGGAGAAGATGCGGCAGGCCTTTGGAGAATCCTGCACGCCCTTCGAGAAATATAATTTTTCAAATTTGGTTAAATTGCGGTGCTTATTATAGACGCCTTCGAGATAGTGTCAAAAAAATCAACTGCTGTAATAATACTCATTGTAGCTGATAGAAACACTTCTTCTTAGCAATATGTATTGTTCTGTTTTACGACTAAGGTGAATCTCTAATAGCTGTTTGATCATTATTCACTCTCAAATTACCTTCCCAAATCATTCTTCGGTGAAGGGGGTTATCCGGATTCTGGCTCAAATGAGGGGGGGGGGGGGATAAGACCCGTCGATTCCCCAATCGCAACTTTGGATATAACGTACTGATGCAAACTCTAAGCTACGGTTTGATCTGAACCATCAAAGACGCTCCGCTAGAAGCATAATAGTCTGGAGACAGAGCCTCAAAAATAAAGGTTGTTCGTATCAGAAAAGCATAGCCGATTCAGCGCAACACTGAAGAACATAAACGAATTCGAACCATCACCTGCATCGTACATCGCACTAACCACTACACCGAAAGTTAGGCATCCTTAAGGCAAATGCAGTTCTTTAGTCTTAAAGTGTGGAAAATCTAGAAGAATGATTACTATTTGATTAAAGTACAAGCTCGATTATCGATGAATCTTGGCATGAAGTAGTTATTTGTATACGTATTCTATAACCAAATAACTAAAAACGCTTTATTCAATTAGGCCAACGTTTGGGTGCATTTACTTCCGTCAGAGCCTGGAAGATCGCACACATTAGTGATTTGTTCCCTCAAACGCCTCCTTTAAGCCAAGGCTACACTCAAGATTAGGTCAAGTCGAAAGCAGTGACGGAAAGCATCGTCAATGCTTACCTCGGCAATCTTCGAATCAGGGTTGAGCAAACCACCAAACACAGCGTCTGCACAGTAGTAGTAGCGAAAACCAGTATAATTGCCTTATATAGATGACTCTAATCTCAGTGTAGATCAAATTCGCAAAGGCACCGATACAAGATCAGATCACTATTTATGGCAACGCCCTCTTCCTTGCGGTTCATTACAGGAGCTTTGGATTTTATCCAAAATGCTTCCAACGTTCTACGAGGCAATTTCGGATTCAAGCGTTAAGAGTGTGGCAGCTACACATTGAATTGTTGATGAGTGTTTCTCTCTGCGATGAGCGCCTAGGGAGGTGTTGGATTTAGATTTTGTAAGACCATCTAGGTGCTCTTTGATCACAGACGAAGGCCTGCCAGTTCCTTCTATACACTGTTTCCCGCAAGTCTGACAAGATATCTGGTAGACTACTTCTACCTCCATGCAATCGCCTGGCTAACCAAATGGGCGGACGACGCAATTGATATTCATGCATAATCGGTCGTAACAGCTTACGAATTAGTTGTTTTTAACTGGGGCGAAACGTCTATGATTCTAACGGAGTCTTTTAGGCCTGCATGTTTCAATTTTTTTCTAATCGTTCTGCTGAAATCCTCGGATATGAAAGGAACAAAAAAAGTATTTTGACTTCATTCTTGTTTGTGTGCGGTTTGTATTCTTGCCAGGTACGTTTCGATGAATGGTCTGTGGGGTAACCATTGGACTGCGCAATTTGTCTGGCAAGATTCAACGATGTAGCGCGTTCCTGATCGAAAGAAACTGCCTTGGCAGTCTTAAACATATTACAAATTATCGACTTTTTTGTGCTCCAAGGATGGGCCGAAAGAGTGAACTAATATATTTTTGCTGCTTGATTTTCGAAATCACTTGATTTTGTATGATTGATCACGCAGTTGCACTTGTTCGTTAAGACAAGGCAGCTAGGTTGAAGCAAGTGTCTAGTTCGTCATGTGTTGCGCACACTATACAACAATCATCTATATAGCCGCAATAAAGCATTGGTTTGCGCGCAAGTACGGGGCTCTCGATTTTTGACATATAGGTAACGGCAACGACAGGTGCCAGCCTCTGCCCCATTGCCGCTGATTTGTTTATAGTACTGTCCACGCCATCGAAAAACGTTGCAGCTAAGACATTCTTTCAAGAGCACCATCACCTACCGATATCAAAACAGTACTGTTGGAACCATGGTGTTCGTTCAGTATCTCGTAGACCCTTCCATGGCCCCTTCATTCGACACATTTGTATACAACGAAGTGAGTCGAATGATTCGATGACACATTCTTTACTTAGCGGTGCCTTACTGACTTGCTCAACGAACATGTCAGTATTCGTTGGGTGAGCAGGAATATATCGAAGCAATTGCATGAGGATCAAGTTCAACAGCCAAGATATCCTATCACTGGGACTTCGACAATTGCTTACAATAAATATTACTAGCAGTGAGCTTGTATGTTTTGATGAGCACATAAAGGACGGGACATTTAAGCAGATCGTTTCTTAGATGTGATAACTTTTTTGGTAAGCCTACAGAATTTGTAGTATCTGTCCATAGTCTGTTCAAGCGGCAATAGTCTTTTGCAAATTCGTTCTTGGAGGAAGCCTCGTACAATGCCACATCATTCAAGTGATGTCTTGTTATGGTCATATCTAGTTCTCTTGTCAAAACTACGAAATCCCCTCCCCCCCTTCATCGCTAATGGATATCTTGATTTTCTTACTCGCGCACAATAAGTTCTCTTACAAGGGAAGTTCGCATGGTCGAAGTAGCATTCAGATGGGCATGTATACCAATGAATAGAACGTAAAACGGTGTTCTCGACTATACCTTCAATACCTGCGACCATTCTTCTAGATGGAGTTATGCTTTTTTGTATATATAACGGAAATGTGGTCTAGAAATGAAATGACGACTTGTGGATAAACAACATGTTCGGAAAACACTGGAAAACGTTCGCATGAGCTTAAATTAGACCTACAGTACTTTCTAGGTAGATTGCTTGAGCTTGCATGCTTTTATGTAGAAATTACCATGATTTTGCGACACAGAATGCATGGAAATTTGTCATCAAAGAGCTCATAAGTTTCTTCAGAACAATGCATCGCAGATATAGAAGATACAGTGGCGGACCGAGGGGCCGAGAGGATTTTTTGAATTTTTTTTGCACGGGTTACAAAAATGTGCAAGTGACTTGTTTGTTCTTGTGAATAATTGAAACAATTTTCAAAATTTTTTAAAAATTCAATTAGCCTTATAAAAAAATTTTCGGAAACGTGGCTGACGCCACGCCCCCTTTTTCCAGATTTTAGGGGTTGGGGACCCGCAAAAATTTTGAGAAGCACCTCAAAAAAATTTTCGGA